CACAATGTCTGTAATCTCCTTTGTCTTGATTCAAGGTGGGCAGGCCCAAAGCAGAGAGACCACAATCACTGCAACACTTGGGAAATGTCAAGTGTTCTGGCAGTAATACCTGGGATAAAGCTTCTGCTGAAGGCCAGGGCAGCCTCACCAGTGTTGCTGCATTAGGAGCTGCTCAGAGCCACACCACCCTGTCTACCTCTCAGCTCAGTCAATTTGGGGGCGCATATTGCTCAGCTGCAAAGAATAGGTTCTATCCAAGGTAGTCTGAATTGCAGCTGTTTCCTGTTAAAATTATTGCTCTGTACCTGTTATGTTTATTTATCTAAGGCTTTTTTCTTTTTCTATTTTTGTGGGGGGTTTTTTTGTTGTTGTTCTTGTTTATTTGTTTGTTTGTTTTTTGAGATAAGGTCTTGCTGTGTAGTTCGTGGTGGTCTGGGACTGACTAAGTGGCCTAGGCCAGCCTGGATCTTGCAGATATCCTCTTGCCTTAGCCTCCAGAGTGCTGGGATTTCAGGCAGGCACCACCACACCCAGCTCTATCAGAGGCTTTCAAAGTAGAGTTCTATATTTAATTTGGTACTTGAGGCTAGAAAGCCTGCTTTGTAACTCCTCCCTTTTCTCCTCCCTTAGCACATACATAGAAAGCAATACTTGCATGTGTCTTAGTTACTTTCTCATTGCTGGGATAAAATACTCAACACCCACACATTAAGCGAGGTTTATTTTGGGTCTCAGTTTGTAGAGGTTTCAGTCCATAGTCTGCTGGATCCAAGGCAGGGTGGAGTGACAGAAGGGCCTGGCAGGAAAAAACAGTCCATGGCATGGCAGGCAAGAAGTCTGTGTCCCCTCCCGCAACCTCTGTGTCCCCTTCCGCAACCTCTGTGTCCCCTCCCTCAGACCACACAGACCAACGTCAGCCTCAGGCCCTGGTCCTTGCTCTATGTCCGCCACCAGCTCTGACTGCTCTTACTCATGTGTGTCTCCGCTCACACCCTGAGAAATGTTCTCCTCACACATCTCTCCCACTAGTCCATTTGCCCATCTGTCCTGGAAGCTTTCATTTACCACTGAGCAAAGTCAATTCGTGAATGACAGCTCCTCCTGTGCAGAGCTGTGGGAGGGAAAAGGCGTGTGGGCAGGAAGCAGTTTCAGCTCACCACTGAGTTTGGATACACGTGCCATCTGCACCATCAAATGTGGTTCAGAAAGAAAATTCAGAAGAATTATTTCTTGCTTATTTAGAACTGTTGCCTTTAGCATTTGCTATTTGCTTATGATGTATTTTACTATAGTTAAAAGCCAACAAGTAGAGTCCATGCTTATAATTATCTTAGTGAAAGGATAGATGATAATTAACTTCTGCCATGGACAGGGAAAGAGATGACAGGGAGTCACATTTTGCATGTGTTCCCACTTCAACTAGAATGGGTACCAGGTTCTTTCCATTTAGTTTAGTATCCCAAATATAATCACTGACTTGCTATGTTGGATTTTTTAGCAGTAGTGCATTGGAAATTTTTTAAAAAGAAGAGATGTGATTACCTTGTGATTTTCTAAAACTCTTTCTAAGTTAGGACTTTGTTCATCCCCAAGGTAAAGTTGACTTTGGGCTGAAATAGAATTTGTGTCAATTACAAGCCAAAATTTAGACATGAGGTGTTTTTTTTTCATCACTTGTAGGTGTAAGGTATTTTTAATAATCAAAACAAGCAATTTAGCATCAGCGGTCTTAGAGCATCTTTATTCTTCCACTGCTGACTCATATGACCTTCTGGGCCTTAGCCTTGGTCAACAGAATTCTTCCGCAAAGCCAAGGGACTCTCATAAACCACCCACGGCCAATATAAATACTAACAAATAACTGCAGAAGGTGTGAGAAACATCAGGCTGTTTTCCTCAAGTTCGTTTAACAAAAACAAGATTCTGAGTCACAGAAGGGGCAAATCTCCATCTTCCTTACTGTGTTCATTTACTTTTTACTTTAAGCGGCAGGCACAGTTGAGTGTCGGACACATAGGACTGAAGTAGGTGTACGGTGTAGGAGGTGTCACATGAGACCGTTAGTTGCTTTTCTTCTTTTTTAAATTAGTATTTTAGGTTTTCTTCTGCCAAAAGAAAGTAGGGGGTGAGGAGCAGACATTCACATTCTCCTTGGTTTTGGTGTTGCAGGTAGTAAAGATCGTTTGTTTAGGCTCAGCTCTCTTAAGTTATAACAAAGTGCATTTGGTGACATTTAGTGTTTGTAATAAAAATATACAAGGTCTGAGGTTAATTCACTAGAATTAGTGAATGAATACAGTTAGTGAATGAATAAGCCCAGTATGGGAAGTGAAACATTGGGAAATAAAGAGACAAAAATGAGAGTACAAACATGGTGTAAGAGTCAGTTAAATTTAAGTAACAAGTAGCAGATCAGTCTCAGAGATTTACAAGCACATGTTAGGGAAGTTGGCTTTGTCAACATAAAATAACTGCTTTAAAGGAAAGAAGAACCAAAGGCCAGGCATGGTGGTGCATGCCTGTAGTCCCAACACTCGGGAGGCTGAGGCAGGAGGACCATTGTGAGTTCAAGACTAGCCTGGGCTACAAAGTAAGCTCATCAACAACCTGAGCTGCATAGCAAGACCCTTCTCCAAAAACCACAAAAAGGAAAAGAAAGAAAGAAAAAATAGCTTATTTTGTACCAAATCTGACTGATCTCTGCCTGTTAACAGGGATTCACATCACAAAACAAAATGAAATCGTGAGTCAGCATATTTACCAAACACATCCCCAGTGTGCAGAGGCAGACTGCAGGAGAAGGAGGCGCATCTCCACTGTAGAGTTTAAATGTTACTGCAGTCTCAGCTTTAGGACTGGCAGAAGACAGAAGTCTGTCAGGATCAGCCATGCAATTTCAAGACATCTATCTAATAGTGAGGTGGATATAAGAGAAGATACAGAGGTGGATCAGTAAATGTCTATTAAAAGAGACTAAATCTGGGTGTGGTGGCACATGCCAATAATCCCAGATCTTGGGAGGCTAAAGCAGGAGGATTGCAGTGAGTTTGAAGCCAAACTGATCTACATAGTGAGTTCAAAGCCAACCTGAGCTACATAAGATCCTGTCTCAAAAAGGGAGGGAGAGGGAGAGAGGCTAAAATAGTCCAATATTACTTTGGGTTTTGGTTGTAACCTTCCATCTCCCCACAGTCACAATCTGCCAGGGTCCAACAGTCTGCAGACTCAGTATAAATGTGGTTTATTCAGAGAACTTTAGCTTACAGATGAGAACTTGCAGAGAGAGCCAAAGAAAGCAGGATAAGAGTGCAATGAGCCCTGTATTCACATAAATTTCCTAAAGAAACACCTGCTTCAAAGTAAGATAGGGCTGGTAATCCAAAGAGCAACTTGGACCAGCCCAGCATGGTGAGTAATGGTCTTTGGAGTCACAGATGGAGCGGTGATGACTTACCAGCATCTGTTGAGGTGGCCGAGTCTCCATCCTAGGCTATTGGTTTTATAGGGCTCTAAGTGAGATCCAAAGCACATGTGCACACACACACACACACACACACACACACACAAGTTGGGGAAACTTGGGGAAAGTTGTGTGTTCCTACCCCCTTCTTACCAGGAAACTCTACCGGTCCCAGCAGGAAATGTCTGGCCAAAGTGGTAGGTGACCTTGAGTTGTGGTCTGCTACCTGTGGGGGCCCTGGACAGCTAAAGAGGAGTGCATGACAAGGTGGAGATACTTTGGCTAGGGGTCAGATAAGTTCTCAGGACACTCCGCCCCTTCCTCTGCTCTTAGATTTCTTCCAGCCCCCTCCTCTGTGGTGTTGCCTGAGCCTCAGAACAGATATCCTCTCCTCTCTTCCACCCGAGAGCCAAGCGCTAGGCAGTCACAGCACAGCAACAGCACAGATAGCAGCAGTGAGACTGACTCCGAGACCGACACCACCATCAGCCAAGGGCATCTGTACCAATTGAGTGAGCACAGGTTAGAACTTATTTCCAGGTTCCCTCATTGACTTACAGCCAGGCCCAGTCTCAGTTCCAGGGTCTACATCAAGTTTCTTCGACTTAGCGAGGACAAAGGCAGCAGATGAAGGTCCAGATTGTTCATGCCAACACTGCACCATGAGGCATGTCCTGCCTGGCGTGCTGGTGGTGTAGAACATGTGGCACATGGCTGCTTGGAATCGTTGCTAACAATTCTCTCCCCACAGTTCTCTCCCTCTGGTACTACTAATGCTGTCCAACAGGGAGGAAGCTCCCAGCTTAGTACCAGCCTGATTTCTCCATGTCCTGCACCAAAGCCTGCATGGCATTTCAGCAATCGGGACTTCCCAGCCAGTTCCAGCATGTGACCAACTGCGCTAGCACTAACCCATATGCTGTGGGGGACAACAGGAGCCTCCTTGGCTAACAACCATAGCCAAGTAGCTCAGCCCATCACTGAGGTTTTTGTTCAACAGCCTTCAGGCTTCTGGAAGCACATTTTCTTACCCATACAGGGTGGCTTTATGTTCGAGAAATTTCTCCGATCATGTAGAGTAGCAGAGTGGCTTTATTTAAACCGCTTATTTTTTTCACTCGAGCCAGCCCCTGTGGAGTTGTAAGGCAGGCGATACTGTTGTATTGATGGTCCTCAGCCCAGCTTTGCACACTGTGTTGGTGAAATGATCGCTGTGAGTCACTGGCAGCTCTCAGTGGCGTCCATCCATCACACCAAGCTGAGGACAGCCTCTCGCAATCACTTCTCCAGTCATCCGCGCACAGCAGAAGGCCTGCAGGAGGCCTGTGGCAGGGACTGCTCAGGTGAGGGTGTAGCCCTCATGCACAGGCACGGGCCTGATGTAATCCGCTACCAATCCTCTACTGGCCATGTCAACGTGGGCACTCATTCAGGGCATGTGTCCTTTGAGGTTGTAGCCAGATTCAGGCCTGGCACTCCCGGAGTGCTTTATGGGAATATCTGCATTCTTTGCACTCCTTTGATCAGGGCTGGCCAGGCTTTCCATGCTCCCAGTTGGCGGCTTCTCTGGGTGTGCAGGGACAGAGGGTCCACCCCTTTGTGAGAGCATCAGCCTCTTGGTTACCTAGGAGACAGAGAGGGCTGTGACTGATTTATTTTCCATGCTTTATATGCCCCCCTCCATAACCTGTTGTCCTGGCAGTGTCTCTGTTCCCACTGTGCCATTGACAGGGTCCCCTTGAAAGACAGCCCTGATATTGGTACAGCAAGATAGTGGCCACTTCTTGGGAGTCACCACCTCCATATTGCTCATAGCTGTACCCGCCTGCTCCTGCTTTGTACCCAGCTAGTGCCATCAGGGTCCTCAACACCTCTGGGATAGCAGGGTCCCTTCTAGTACCTCTTTGGGCTCAGCTATTGGTTTAATCATGGAAGGTGATTTAGCAGCTTGCAGTGACTGGGTTGGCTCTTACAGTACTTGTCACAAGGCTGGAAGGTAGGGCTCCATGCTGCCATAAGGATGTGAGCCACTTTGTAAAACACGACCTTGTATGATCCCAGTAACAGCCTTGGCCAAAAGACCTTGCTTGAATTGAGCCCTTTATTGCACATGTTGCTCTTATTGAGGCAGCTGAGGTGATGGAGTCCACCTCCCGCAAGGCCTTGGATGCCACCCTCAGTTGGTGCCCCGGTGCCCTATACCAGGCTTTACCCTGCCTGTGATCTAGACTAGAATCTTCCTACCACTATCTGTCTGGTTGTTTCAAACAACAGACCTCAACTGGAGCTTTCAGGCTCCTGGAAACTAGAACAAATGGGTGTTGGGGTTCTGAGAGCACAGAGCTGTTTGGCCTGCCTCGTGAGTATATTGGCTTGTTCAAGGGCCTCTGATTTCTTTTGGCCCACTCCCATGTGGTCCCTGTTTTTAATCAGGTTGTGTAAGAGGTGGGCATGTGAGCATGGGAGAGTATAAAGGTGAGCCAGGACCCACCAAGAACCCCAGAGACACCTACAGATATTTTGCACTGGTACAGGCTGCTGCAAAACTTCCTCAGTGACTGAGTCTCCCAAGCATTACATTGATGCCAGTCCTGGTACCTTGTGAGGACTGATGTCTCTCATCTTTGGTCTTGCAGGTGTCCTTGTACATTCTCCAGTATTTCTCTAAGTCTGTAAGGCACTCAACGGTAGCATGATACCATCTACATGATAAACATTTCCACAGTAGGTGAGCAAGGTAACAGCAAGGTGAGGTCCCTGGATGCCATCCCAAAGCAAACGGTGGACCACAGGTAGCACTCAGAAGGTCCACTGTTGTCTACTCCAGGTTAATACAGACTGGCACTGGGACTCTGCAGCTAAGGGAATACTGAAAAAGCACTAACAAGATCCAAAACAGAATGATCAGCTCCCCTAGATGGTGTGAGTTGTTCGGTCAGGAAATTAATGGTGGGCTTAGTGGCCAGGGGAGCCATCCAACTCCTTTACTGGTCATACAAGTGGGAGGACTGTGGACTGGGCAGATGATGTTATTACCCCATCCTGGTAGTCTGTTAAATGGAGACTTTTTTTTTTTTTTTCAATACCAGGGATTGAACTCAGGACCTTGTGCTTGCCAGGCAAGCACTTATTCTACTGAGCTATCTCCCTAGCCCTAGTCTGTTTGTTATTAATCCCCTTATATTGGCCAGGCAGAACTTTTGTTGTTGCTGTCTCTTTCTTTCTTTTTCTTTCTTTCTCTCTCTTTTTCTTTCTTTCTTTCTTTCTTTCTTTCTTTCTTTCTTTCTTCTTTCTTCTTTCTTTCTTTCTGTGTATTTGGTTGTTATAGGTCTCACTACACAGCTCAGACTCGTAGTGATCCTCCTGTTTTCAGCCTCCCCAGCACTGGGATTGCAGGCATGCACCACCACACCCTGACTCTGTGGCAAGCTCAGCCCACCCTGTGAGCCAAGGCTGGTGCAGTGTGTGGTGCTGGGGATCAAACCATGGCCCTGATCTTGCCAAAGCGTGCCTAAGCAGGTGCGTTAGTCCACTGAGCTATCTCATCAACCTCTGTTGCTGCTTTTTGAGAAAGTCTTGCTGTGCAGCGCAGGCTGGCCTTGAACTCACTATGTAGCCCTGGCTGGCATAAACTCATGATGACCCTCCTGCCTCAGCCTCTCAAGTGATGGGATTTCCCGGCATATGCCCCTGTGCCTGGCCAGGATTCTGATCATGGGGTGAGGGTATGTGTGCCCGAGCAGCATGTCCACCCCTAGTACATGCCCAGTCATCCTTCCCTGTGGCCATTTCCAGACTTGGGACTCTCCAGTGACAAGGGTGTTTGCTTAGGCTTAAGTTGGCTCAGGACAAACCCTGGTTATGGCAGGGAACCCTGTGATAGCTGTGACCAAGCACTTACAAAGAACGCTTCCTTTTCCTGGCTCTGCTTACCTTTTGGCATAGCTGACACAGACAACTCTGTCACTATCATCGCAATATTCTTTTTACAGACAGTCTCCTCTTTTCCTGGTGAGGGTTTCTCTGGAGTCACCAACAGTCCATCACACATTGTCCTCAGTCCCTGGAATGCACGTCTGATTATCATGTCTTATCTCATGCTGAGGCTAAGTGTGTGACAGTTGAGAGTACACAGAATAGTGAGGAGATTCTGAGAGCAGTTCTGCATAACCCACAGGAGAAAAAGAAATACTTAGATCAACCAAACATCCAAATTCCCTTTGCCTCAGGCTCTACGGACTTTTTCAGTTTACTCTGGGCTTTCTGAGATTTATTTTAGCTTTCTGCTTTTGTCTTTTTTTTTTTTTTTCTTTCATTCTGGTAGGACAAATCTTACTATGAAAAATCTTTCCTTATCAAAAATATATCCTCATACTCACAATTTTTCTTTTATATTTCCTGTTCTGTCCTACTTATTTGTCCCCTTCTGTCACAAATTCCATGGGTGCTTGGATTTAAAAATGCTCCTGTTCATTTTTTTCCTTTGGCCACAATTAGCACACTGATTTTACATTTCAGTTAGGCTTGGTGAACAGGCTTCCAAGTAACCTCGAATAGCGAGTCTCTTAGTACCAGCAAAAATCAGAAAGAAGAGCAAATTAAGCCCATAATTGCAGTTTAAGAACTACCCCAGCTGTATACAGGAAATGCTTCAGGCAGGCCAATTAGACAAAAACGTGAACTCAAACTGGCATTCAAAAGGACACTGACGGGGCCGGGGAGATGGCTCAATGGAATAAGCGCTTCCCTGGCAAGTGCAAGGGCCTGAGTTCAATCCCTGGTTCCGCAAGGAAAAGGGAAAAAAAAAAAAGGACATTGGCCACTCAGTCAATAGGTACCGGGTCATGGACTCCTGTTAGCGCCCCCCAAGGTTGCTGGGAAGGCTGGTTTTCCTCGTTTTGCTATCCGGAGACGGGAGTCAAGCTCAGCCTTGCTACCCACTGGCACCCGTGACCTTGAAACCACATCCGCACTGGGTGTCTGGCTGTGTCTGGCGGCCCCAGACCCCTCACAGGCAGGTCTGGACTCCCCAGTGAACGCAGTCACGTGATCCGGATCAGCCTGTGCACTTCCTGGCTGGGCTCGCCTCCCGCACTGGCACCGTCACCGATGTGTCCTCGTTGTCCTCAGCCTGCGCTTGCTTGGCACCGATTTGAGCTTGGAATTCAGCCTCTTCCAGGGCAGCTGCTGCCTCTGACGTGTCACTATGGGACACCCCAGAGTTGCTGTGATTGAGCAACATTCCCCCCCCCCTTAGGTAGTATTGAGCATAACAAATAACAGTACTTCCCCCAATTTGGAGGCACTTTCAAGGCATCCCCAAACATCTAGATAATCTGCCATCCCCCCCACCACCACGTGGAGAGAGGTGGCCACCCGAGGATCTCTTGTGGGGCAGACAGCTCGGCCTCAGGAGCATCTTGCTGCCCCCAGCAAAACTGGCGGACAGTGGAGACAGCCCTCTGCAGTCCCGTCCCACAAGGACCTCCAGGGATCGCAGAGTGCTCTCCAGACCGTTAGGTATTCTCTGAGCACCCTGACTCACCCTGTAGACCACGCCCACAGAGGAGGCCTGCCACCCATACCGCGTGGAGGAGGATGGCAACCCCGGGAGTTCCCCAGGAATTCCTCCCTGACTCATCTTTGGGTCTGTCAGGTCCCTGCTCAGCTGCCAAATGTTGTGTACCCAGAAGGATTTAAAAAAAAAAAAAAAAAAATCTGACTCCAAATTGAGAGAGAAACTGATTGTCCAAAAACCGACTCAAACAAGTCCCAGTTGGCAAGTACGGAGCTCATTTGGGTCACCCACAGCAGAGGCTGAAGTGGAGACTGCAGCACCAGCGACGTCAGCAACCCCTTCCGCTAAGCTGCTGGCTATCGGGCTCTAATTTAAACAGCAAACGCAGACCGAAGGCAAGCTAAGTTGTGTACCCTGCTCAGGTCACGGCCTTGTTAGGAAACTGCACCAGCCGGGCTGTCTGGCCGGCCGCGGTGGTGGGTGACCTGTTGTGCTGCAGTCTGGCACACGGCCTCGGCGCCTGGCAGAGGCTCCCGGGCAGCTAAACAGAGCCCACTGCAAGATGAGGTTACTTGGGCGAGGGCTCAGAGGACAGTTCTCATCTTACCTTTCCACTATAGGCTCCAAATTCACAGATTCAGCCAACAGTGTATCAGAACAGTTTGGAAAAAATGTGTTTGTACCGATATTTATTTATTTATTTTTAATGTTGGCAGTTGAATCCAGAGTCTATGCCTAGTGTAGCTCTACCACTGAGCTATATCTTTAGCTTTAAAAAAAAAAAAAAATTTTATTTTATTTATTGGGTACAGGATCTCACTACACAGCTCAGACACATAGTGATCCTCTTGTCCCAGCCTCCCCAGCGCTGGGATTACAGGCATGCACCACCATGCCTGGTTTTGAGGCTGGCACGGCATGCCTGGGGTTCTGGTTCTGGCACCACATGCTGTACTGGGGATAGAAGCCAAGTCCTTGTGTTTGCCAGGCAGGCACTTAGACCACTGAGCTATCTCCCCAGTCCCATATTTTATTTTAAAACAAAGTGTACCTTATTTGCTAAGCTGGCCTTGACCTCTCCTGCCTCAGCTTCCCGAGTAGCTAGGTTACAAATATGTCCCACTACGCCCGGCACAGACATTTTCTGGGCATTATTCCTTAAGCTACACACTATAATAATTGTTATTGTGGAGCATTTGCATTGTAGCAGATAATATAAGTGATCTAGAGATGACTGAAAGTTTGTAGGAGGATGTATAGTTTATATGCAAATACTGCACCATTTTATGTCAGAATACAAGAGATTTTAGCATCCTTAGGGGTCCTGGACAAATCCCCTTATGCATACTGGAGGATGACTAAATCTGCTCTTTTTTGCCATGTTGCCCTTTCTTACTCCTTGCCCTTCTTCTGGTCAGTCTTTTCCTGAGATATTTTCATGCTAGGAGGATAAATAATATCCATCTGTTTAGCACAGTCCGTGAGTGGCTGCTCTGCCCCAGTAGTTTGAGCAGCGGGGTACACGGAGGAGAGCGGCAGCGCCCTCCACGCAAGACCCTCAGGAATAGTTAAGTTCCAGTCAGTGCTGGAGAAGAAAAGCAAAGTCAAAGTGGGGAAACAAAAATGAGAGTGTCTACAGAAAATCAGCATTTTTGAAGGAAATATTTTGCATTAACTTCTGTGGGGGAAAGTCAGCTGTGTACAGGAAAAGGAAAGCTACTGGTCAGTGATTTTCCTCTTCAGCATTTATTCATCCAGTACTGTACTCTAGGTGCTGTGCATCAGAAAGGGGGTGACCACCCCATAGGGAATGAGAGCCCATTGGAGAGGAAGGACACATAACTCAGACAGGGAGCTCAGCGCAGAGCTCTTGGGCCATTCTGAGAATGATCACATTTCAGGAGCCAAAGCCATCAGCTGAGGCAAGAATGAAAAGCATGACAGGACGAAGCAGTGTCTTGGGCCCAGGAGACAGCTCAATGTCATAAGGGCCTGCCTGGAAATCCCAAGGTTCTGAGTTCAATCCCAGGTATCACAAAAGCAGAAACAATGTCCTATTCTGTGTGTGTTATTTATATGTTCTATGTATGCAAAGGACAAAGATGTGTGTGTGAGAACACCGGAAACTGAGTTAGCACTGTTTTGTTTTGTTTTGTTTTACAGTTGCTCATTGGTTAGGCCTTATGCAAGCTTCTATGTAGCCAAGCATGGAGGTTAATAACTTGGAGTCTAACAGAAGTGCTTCTAACCTGTCTCTGCTACTTGCTGACTTTGTAGCCTTCAGCAATCCCTTTAAACTGGCCAAAAAGTTATTTAAAAATTTAAAAGGAGAGAAAAAAAAAATAAGCATTAATATGCAAGATAACAACCATTGTTGAATTCCCATAATCATTCCTAATGTGTTTGGCTACTTATTTATTATCTAAAAAAAAAAAAAAAAAAACCTTTCACTTCTGTAACACATTATCTCCATCTGTAAAATGAGCACAGTAACAAGCACAACACTAAGAGTAGTGTAAAACCAGATTTTCTGCATAGAATCTTTTCCCCTCCCCCCGTTCTGGGGATTTCTTTCCTGCAAGGCCCCTGTGCATGCTGGGCGAGCACGTTGCCATGGAAGCCCGTCCCCAGCCAATCACTTTTCACAGTGGCTGGTATACAGCAAGGACCTAAAAATCCTGTCTTATTTTAATGACCCCCTGGATTATTCATCCACTGACATTTCCAAGGGCAGTGTAGCAAGGGGCTCCAGGTCATGGCTCTAAGTGGTCCAGCCAGCCCTGCCTTGCAGCCTCCCCCAGGAGAGGTGGGAAGGAGGCCGGAGGCGGAGGTGAACCCCACCTCAGGGAGCGTCGTGGGCCCCCTCAGATGTTGGGTTTGACTGAGACAGCAGTGCCTCTTTAGGACATTTCAGTGAAGAAAGACAAGGCCAGATTTGATGTTAGGAAAATTGAGAAGAGGACAGAGATCACTGACAGCCCACAGGAAGCCACTGTCACCCCCCAAGAGAGAAGGGGTTTCCTGTGAGAAGGGAGCAGCAAGAGGATGGGTAGAATATGGGGCATCTGGGAAAAACGGAGCCATGCCAGTGTACGGGGGGTGGAGAGGCAAGGGTGGGGGTTCAGCTGTCCCAGCAGTCCAGCTTTACTGACCAAAGATGGCGGCGCCATAGCTCCAGATAGCAAACCACAGAGCACAGAGCTGTCAGGGTGGCAGGTCTGGGTATTCTGGAGCCTGGAGGGCAAATGCGAGCAGGGAGCCGACCTTAGAGCAGACCAGAGGCCAGGAGAGACGTCAGGCCGGGAATTCCAATCTGGTGTGAGTGAGATGATTTAGTCAGTCTGTCCATAGCATTGAGTACCGTGGGTCAGGGCTCCTTTCTGCACAAGAATAAAGAGACTGAACAATAGTCAAAGCCAGGCGTGGTGGCACATTGCTGTAATCCTGGCACTTTGGAGACTGAGACAGGAAGATCGTTGCAATTTCGAGACCAACCTAGGCTACAAAGTGAGCTCAAGACCAGCCTGAGCTGCATATCAAGACCCTGTCTCAAAGAGACAAGTAAATAAATAAATGAATAAATATTAAAAAAAAACAATCAAAATGGTACCTCAGTTCACAAACTTAATTCTCTCCATGATTCCAGCTGCAAAATGAATTCAACCAGAACTGAGTCAAATTTGCCCATAAGATCAGCATTGTACCTAACCACTAAATTGGATTCAGTTCTCATCCAACTCAGTTTATGCCCAGAATCCTGGAAAGAATTAAGCTCAAGGGATGTGTCTCAGCGGTAGAGCAATGGCCTTGCAAGTCCAGGGCCCTAGGACTTGGGTGGGGCAACAGGTGGGCTGGCATGCACAGGCCCTGTGTGGCTGTCTGCTTGACTACTGCCTCTGGGGTCACTGCCACAGCCCCTGGGTCACAGGTGCTCAGCAACTTCTCGGTTGAGGTAGAGAAGGGGGAAGACACGAAACCACGAGGAAAGCCTAACTTCTGCTATTGTCAGATGCTGGGAAGAGAATGTCACTGACAAATTGGATGACCTTATATACAAGCGATAGATTCATTAAAACAACAGAACTTTACAGTTAAGCAAAATAGTTACTGTAATATCAAAAAAGAAACTTATTTTACCACAGGGACAAACCTTGCCATTCTAAAACAGAAGAAGAAAACAAAGTACCTGAGACTGGGAGATCCTTTCATGTGGTGCAGTGGGGCCACGTGCTCCTCATGGAGCCGTACACTCAGAGCCGATCCAGAATCTGCTGGATCCAGATCTCGGTCCAGGCCACACCACCCTTTCACCGTGAGGTGAGGTTCTTCCTTGACAGGAGCAAGGAGTGGCCCAGAGCTGACTGAAGGAAAGAGCCAGGACCATGTTGTAGAATGTGAGCACGCTAGTTCCCCTTTTCCCTTCTTCATTTTTCCAGAATTAAAAGACCATGAGCATCCTTGACAAAAAACAATGCTGGGAATCTGCGGAATAATGACCACAAGATGCAATGAGGCCTTTGGTCTCTGCTGACGATACATTCAGGCTGAAAGTCGTGATTTTAACAGTTCTCTGATTTCAATGATTAGATCTGATTAGAAAACAGAGACAGGCAGAGGTGGGCTTTGGAGCTGGCCTCAGAGCTGGGGATCGTGGGACAAGACTGGGAAGCTCCCCAGTGCCTTGGGCTTGGTGATGGTGACCGGTCTCCATGACTGAAATACAATCATGGGTGTACAGTCACCCACGGGGTGATAATAATCAACCTATGATCTTGACATTCCTGGCCCCAGCCCAATTCCTTGAGTAAAATCTCTGGAGATAAGAAAGATACTAGGGGCTGCGGAGATAGCTCAGCAGCATAAGCACCTGCCTGGCAAGCACAAGGACCCAAGTTCGATCCCCAGTACCACATACCATGCCAGCCCTGGAACCTCAGGCACGCTGTGCTAGCCCTGAAACCAGGCATAGTGGTGCATGCCTGTAATCCTAGCACTGGGGAGGCTGAGACAGGATGGATCACTATGAATCTGAACTGTGTAGTGAGACACTGTATCCAATAAATAAAATAAATAATTTTTTTTTTTTTTTTTTTTTTTTTTTTGCGGAACCGGGGACTGAACTCAGGCCCTTGCGCTTGCCAGGCAAGCGTTTATTCTACTGAGCCATCTCCCAGGCCCCATAAATTTTTAAAAAGAAGGGAAAAACACCAGGTCCAGGAGGGGAGATAAGTCAGCAGCATAAGCACCTGCCTGACAAGCACAAGATCCTGACTTCAACCCCTGGTACCAAAATTAAGGGGGGTGGGGAGACACTAGTCCATGAGATCTCTCTGATGGAGCTTAGCTGATTTGTTGAGTCCTTGACCTAATAAAATGTTGTTTGAAATACACTTTTGTTGGACATTCCAGAGCACCTAATTATTTTTTTCTCTTTTTCCTTGTATCTAGGCACTGGGAAATCATGAATTTGATAATGGTGTAGACGGACTGATCAATCCATTGCTCAGAGAAGCCAGATTCCCAATCTTGAGTGCAAATATTAAGGCAAAGGAACCACTAGCATCGCAAATCTCAGGACTCTATCTGCCCTATAAAATTATTTACATTGGTAATGAAGCTGTGGGAATTGTTGGATACACTTCAAAAGAAACCCCCTTTCTCTCAAACCCAGGTATTTTTTACTTTTACACTGTTTGTGACTTGAAAGCGGAGGCACTAAGTCAGAGTCGGGCATTATTTATATGAACTTTAAGCCAAAGTCAGAAGAATGAGACAAATGATGCATTTAAGGTGACAGTGAGGGAGCCTGTCTGGTGATTCTGTTTTTCACAGTTATGTCTTGGAGACATTACATCTTCTGCTCAGTGCCCTTCTTTGGTGACACCTAAAGTGCTGTTGGCAATTGAATCCAGACTCTGAGCATACTATAGCTTTAACCACTGAGCTATATCCTCAGATTTTTTTAAAAAAAATTTTTTAATATATTTTTTTCAGACTCGTAGTGATCCTCCTGTCTCAGCCTCCCTCAGCATTGGGATTACTGGAGTGTACCATCACATCCACATGTGGTACCTGGGATGGAGCTCAGGTCCTTGTGCTTTCCTGGCAGGCGCTTAGACCCCCAAACTATCTCCCCAGCCCCTTGTTCATATTTTAACATCTTCATTTGGGGCCTGATTCTTAGAAATTAGCATAAAGGAGTCTGGAATTCACAGGAGCCCGCCTTGAAGCACAGTGCTCAAGGTGACGTCAGAGCAGCATGGGCGATCGTCTTCACGCCAGTGAAACTCATAAAATCTCAAGTTTTCTGCAGTTTGGCTACAGAGATGGGCAATGAGCAGCCACAGCTGGCCATCTGGGTGGCCAGCTAGACCCCTACTGGCCAGTGGATACCAACAGGTGGTCGATGGTTACCACCAAGTGAGGCAGCCGGCGAAGACACGCACACCTGTGGGGCCAGCAGGGCTTAGATGCGGAGCTCAACCTCGACATCAGCTTCGAAGCCAAGGGAGCACCACATTAGTTCCCTAGAAGTCCTGAGCATTCAGGGGCTGGCCTGGTGGACGAGGTGTATCTCTGTGGCCGTGGCCTGGACACGTGTGCTCCGTCCCTGCTCTTCCTGCTTCCCTGCTTCCACAAGGCAGGCAGCTATCCTCGGCCTTCTCCTTCCTCCGTGGCTGACCACAAAATGAGCCAACGGGGAGGTGAGCCAAATAAACCTCTCCATGAAGTTGTAGGCATTGGGTATTTTATCTCAGAGATGAGAAAGTTGGCTAATACATGAAAATATCAACAGCTATGCTAAAGTTGGCATTCAAGCACCACTTTCTGGTACTTCTAAGGGTGCAGACTATCTCATGTTTCCAAACAAAGTCTTGGAATTACTATACTAACGCTCCTTTGTATATAATGTTTCTTTTCTTTTTCTTTGTTTCCTTTTTGAAGCAGGGTCTTACCTTCATTTCAGGTCAGCCTTGAGCTCACTTCGTAACCCAGGCAATCCTCCTGCCTCAGCCTCCTGGGTGCTGGGATTACAGGCGTGCGCCACCATGCCCAGCTTGCTTAACATGTTTCTATGTCCAGGCATTTTATACATTGATACTGTGAAAGTCTAAATGTACAGAGATTTAAAAAGCAAACCACATTGGTGTGTGTGGCTCTCCTCTGGAGAATCCCAAGCTGGAGCGGAGCAGGTTCATTCACAGGCCTCGCTCCTACCCTAGTGGTGACCCCGGTCGCTCACAGGTGATGAGGTGGGCCTGATCTCCTGCTGCCTGTAAGATATCAATGACTTCTTTGGCACTGGGCAGAGCAAGTGGCTGCCCAAGCAAGGCCAGATCAGCCAGAGAAAGCAGGTTGTTACCAAAGATAGGATTGGTGATGGGCTTAAAAATATGACCATAGGCACCTACTGATGTCTAATTCCCCCAACGACAAAGAGTTAAGAAAGAATGAGGCAGTCATTGGCAAAAAGCATTAAAAAAAAAGAAAGCACTTTGAAACTGATTACTAGCTTGCTACCCATGATGAAATCAACAGCCTGTGTCTTGTGTTAGGCTGGGAGACAGACGAGGTAGACGACTAGGGGAGGCATTGGGGACAGGGATGGGGAGGGGGGCTGGGACACAGGGCCCCTTTTCAAAAAGAAAAATTCTTAAAATACATAAAATTTTAGAAGTCCCTATATACCCACATGTAAAGATGAAGTCTCAGTTTGTAGGTATTTGTCAAAATTAATATCGATTTCTTTTTTTTATAAATGGTGAATTTTGCATGGTTCTAGATCTGGATTTGGAGCCGTTTAAAGAAGCTGCAGCACCAGCCATTTTGAGGCACTGGCGCCTTCCCTGACTTGGCTGTACCCAACGTTTATGTTATTTAATCTTGCAGAAATGATTCTGTGCACTTGAATGTGAAATGCTGTCCCGTTCTTTGCTGTCGTGGCGGTGGTGGTGGCAGCGGCGGCGGTGGTGGTTACCCCTGGGTGTACAAAACAATCCGAAAAGGGTCTCTGTAGATGTTGTTCTATTGTGCTCATCTTTTGAAGTTATTAGGAATGTGTTTAAGACGAGAAGATAACTTCTAAGACATGGAACATAGAAAGGATGCCTTCCGCAGTGCATCATGAAGCCTGTGTTTCTTCGCTGTTTCCAGCTATCTGCCCAAGTTAATGCAAATGGACACTTTATATGCCAGGGGGAAAAACATTAAAAATGAAGACAAAAAATGCTTCAGCTTTTTCTAATCTTCTTCTGCAGTCTCTTGTGTAAGCAGCCTGCTTTTTCTCTAATATTGTGGTAGTTTATTCATGTTAATGGACTATAAAATAATATAATCACCAGAGTGCCAAATAGCTTGGAACGACAAGTCACTTTAGTTTCTTTCCTTTTCACAGTGCTGAGTCTGTGTAAAGGAGTGCCTGCAGCGCCCGTGAGACTCTTTGCAGGGATTCTCTCAGGGGACACCTGCTGCCTGTTCTGCATGGCATTTGCAAACATGCGCCTTGTGTGAGGAATCTTCTACCACTTTTCTTGTTTGTTTGCAACTTTGGATCTCAAGAGGGTTCTCTTCCTTTCTCAGTTTCCTCTAACCTTAATTCTATACTCTATGTTGCACCATGGAACAGCACACAGGACTGATAATCCAGTGTACAGTAAAGGACGGTTCCTGCACCTAAAAGAAAAATAATGCCTTATCTGAAGTCTCCTCATAGTTTGACACTGAGTAAAATACTATCTATAACCTTAAACTAGTACAACTTTAAGTGAATGTGACTGAGGATATTTATTTGATTTTTATTGACTTCCTAGAAGTTTTATAGTTAGTTATAAATATGTTTTGGTCTTAGTAATTAAATAACTTTAATAAATCATTTATTATTGGTATATTAGTAGGTATAATATACAAAACAATAAAAATTATTAGATTTGTATTTACTTCAGTTCTTTTTTATTTATCTTGTTTCATAGGAGCAAATTTAATATTTGAAGATGAAATCACTGCACTGCAACCTAAAGTAGATCTACTAAAAACTCTAAATGTGAACAAAATTATTGCACTGGGACACTCTGGATTTGAGATGGATAAACTCATCGCACAGAAAGTAAAGGGTGTGGATGTTGTGGTAGGAGGACACACCAATACGTTTCTTTATACAGGTAATTGTTTCAAAACAATTCCATATGCAATGATATCCAGATAAGTTATTTTGTTTCTTTTACCTTTGTAAATATTATTAGTATTTCTATGACTGTTTATTATGCAGCATATACTATATAATCTATAATACAGTGTATATATATGTAATGCATCAAATGGGAATATACAATTTTACTCTTAGGACATTACTAAGGATTTATTGATTTCATGGTTTTAATTCTATTTATATATAGATATATGTAACATAGACAGACAGACAGACAGACAGACAGACAGACAGATAGATTACTGAGTACCAACCAAAAGTTCAACTTATGACAGATTCATATCAAAATACAACATAAGACTGAGCGTGGTGGCACTTGCCTGTAATCCCAGCACTTGGGAGGCTAATAACAGGAGAATCACTATGAGTCTGATCTACATAGTAAGACTTTGTAGACCCTGCAGACCCTGAACTAAATGCATAAAAAAGCAACATCTCATATTAAAAATCTTAGGCATAAACAAAATCATGTAAGCAGGGTTTATGTAGTTCCGGGTGACAGGAGTTGATGGGAAGGCTGCACAAGCAGCAGAAGCTGCAACCAACTCTAACCCAGTTTACTTCTGGTTCTCCTGCTTCCTTGGCCTGTGACATCCCAGAAGCCATAGGGCCCTGATGTTCAGAGGAGGATGTCTCTATTCCAACTTTCCACCCCCCCCTCCAGACTATTACTGAGTTGTAATTGAACCCACAATAGCCCAACGTATCAGAGTTTGGGTCCCTGTTTTCCACTTTCCCCTGCCTTACTCTGTATGTATCTTTTTAAATCAGATTTTATAACACATCATAGAGAATGTGTTGTGCATGATATAACTTGGTTTTTTCCCATTCCCCTACCCTCCCTTCAAACCCTCCTCCTCATCTTATTTACAAAACTCTGTTTCCTTGTTTTCCATATTTTTGCCCTCTCTTTTCTCACTTTTCCTTTCTTTCTTTTTTCCATCACCTCTCCCTGGTTCTCTTCCACACTTGAACAGTTTCTTCCTATTTTGCAATATCTATTATATATTTTGGTCCTTAATTACACTTTTGGTTTTTCACACCATAGAAATAATGTGGCATTTATACATGTATGTCCAATTCATTTGACTTAGGGGTATGGACTTAAGGTGCATGCATTTTCCTAGAAATGTCTTAAGTGTCCTTCCTTGTATCAGAGTAGTTCTCCATCGTACAAAAAAACACATCTTCAGGGGCTGGGGAGATAGCTCACTTGAGTAAGTGCTTGCCTGGCAAGCTCAAGGGCTTGAGATCAATCCCTGGCTCTGCAAAAGAAAAAAAAAAAAAAGAAATTTAAAAAAAAAAAAAACACATCTTCTTGGGCCTCAAAATTTAAAGACCCAATCAAAAATAGGCATCCAAAATGAATACACACTTCTCAGAGGAAGAAATACAAGAGGCAAATAAATACATGAAAACATGCTCCACATCTCTAGCCATTCAAGAAATGCAAATTAAAATAACTTTGAGATACCATCTCACCCCGGAAAGAATGGCTATCATAAAGACATCAACCAACAACAAATGTTGGAGAGGCTGTGAGAAAAAAGAACCCTTCTCCACTGCTGGTGGGAATGTAGACTGAGGCAACCATTACGGAAATCAGTGTGGAGATTCCTCAAAAAATTAGTATTGGAAATCCCATTCAATCCAGCTATCCCCCTTCTTGGAATTTTCCCAAAATAACTGAAAACATCATTTCATAGTGATACATGTGCACCCATGTTTATAGCAGCACAATTTGTGATAGCCAAATGTTGGAAACAACCAAAATGCCCATCACCTAAGGAATGGATGAAAAAGATGTGGTATTTTTATACAGTGGAGTATTACTCAGCTATAAAGAAAGACAAACTCAAAGCATTCATAGGTAAGTGAATGCAACTTGAGGCTACACTCATTAAGTGAAATAAACCAGACCTACATGTATAAATATTCTATTGTCTCCCTAATGTAAGAACTCAAAAGAAGAAATAAAAACTGAAAGGTATAACAGTCACAGTGACATGGAAAGAAACAGAACTTAAGGATTAAACAACAAAGAGAGATAAAGGAGAAAAATTAGGAAATAAGGCAGGGGTAAAACCATTCATGTATATATACAAGTTGGATAAGACAATAGTCCTAAGAATCTCCATCAAGTTTTTGAAAATAGCAGTTAATGGGTAGAATTCTCACCCTGACTGACTCTATACGCTGATATCTGTGAACTAAGCAACTACATTGTGGATACCATGCTTGAAATATCTGTCATCTTAGTATTCTAAATGTGTACTATTTCTAATGTCATATCAATTATTACTTTACTCTATTTAAAGTAAAATTTTTAAAGAAAGGTTGTAAAAGAAAATGAGAGTCAAAAAAAAAAATCGTCTTTATCCATTCACCAGTTGATGGGCACTTGAGCTGTTTCCAAAATTTGACTGCTACAAACAAGCCACTATAGACATCAGTGTGCATATATTGCTGTGGTATGTGATACAATTCTTTTAATTCTTTCACAAAGATACCAAAAGAGGAATGGCTGAATCAGATGGACTCTCCAATCCTAATTTTTTTTTTAGGAATCTCCACATTGATTTCCACAATGGTTTCACCTGTCTACACTCCCACCAGCAGTGGAGAAGGGCTCCTTTCCCCCACAGTTTCTCCAGCATTTGTTGCTGGTTGATTTCTTCATAGTAGCCATTCTTTCTGGAGTCCTAATTAGAATGGAATCTCTGTTCTAATTTGTATCTCTCCAATGACCAGTGATGTTAAATATTCTCTGCTGCTTGTACTCTGTTTATCTTTGAGGAGTAAATAAGGAAAGTAGGAATAGGAGGCCTGGTTGGTGAGCAGCAGGCCCCTCAGCAGTGGGAAGGCAAGCTTTAGCGGGGTGATACAGATGCCCTGGAAAGGACTTAGGGGGCTATAGAAGGCCTCTTGTTTTCTAAACATAAAACTCAGAAATACTCCAAACAGTAGGGATTAGCCAGAAATGTTCAAAGTGGTTATCACTAGGAAAATTTCCTCCTGCCTCTGCCTCCCAGAAGGCTGGGGCTGCAGGTGTGTACCTCCATACCCACATAGGCCTTCATTCTTCAAGGTTCCCAGGCTTCTCAGTGAAGCCACCCTGGGGCTGTGCACATGAACCTAGTGGGGACAAAGCATATCCCAGGGGCAGTGGCCTCAGAACAAGGCCCACCACTTCAGCTGCTCCAGTTGTGTGCCACTCTGTGGATGAAATCCTTCCCCACACCTTTCTTAGCCTTTCATCGAGGCAGAGTCAGAAGGACACACTCAGGGAGCCAGTGACAGGTCGAAGTTTCAAAAGCTTTTGGCCATGATCCATGATCAGAATGGCATTTCACAGGAAGACCCAACAGGCATTCATAGTCCATACATGTACACTTGAGTATAAGTGAAATAATGGCTCCACAATGTACCTGAAACATATATGAAATTTTTCTGTCCAAATTTTGTTTTCTTTGTGTAAATACCAGTTATGTCCTAATATTTCTATAGTCTAAATAGCCACTATTAAAAACTCAGCTGGAGATGAAGCATGACCAAAATAGTCATAGCAGTGCAGAGTCCTACACTTCCCTGCAGGAGCTGGGGCCACCCCTTGCTCCTGTCCTGTTTTTACCCAATTTTGAGGGATATCACCTTGCAGCTCCCACTGGTCATCCCCAGTGTGTCACTGCTGATTCATGTCCTCTGCTTTCCTGAAAGTATTGGGTGACAACACCCAGCTTTCCACTAACTCTGTTACCTGCCCTCTGGCTCTGTCACTGTTATTCAAGCCAATGGACAGTAGGAAAAAAAAAACTTTGGGGATAAAAATTACACTGTGATTATCTGTAAATCTCAAAGCAGGTAATTAGGATCTCTGAGGAAGCTAGGTGAATCTTCGTCCTTTACTTCACATTTCATAACTTATCAGAAGTAAACTTCTTCTTGTGAAAATCTTTTATTTTGACACTATTTTTGAGCACTGGAAACAAAGGTAATTCTAGAACTTAACAGGAGATGAGTATATTTGCCTATTTACATAAATTTTCTCAACTTAAAAAAAAATTAAGCCAAGTCAAGCTCAGGGGCACATTCCTGTAATCCCAGCGCTTGGTAAACTGAGGCAGGAGGATCACCATGAGTTCAAGACCAGCCTGGGGCCAGGTGTTGTGGCACATGCCTGTATTCCTTGCACTCAGGAGGCTCAGGAAGGAGGACTATTTTAACACACATACATGCCTGAAAGAAAACTTTCTCAGAATACTTAGACTGTACTATCATAAGTCTATTATGTGATTTTTTTAGTGGCATTGACCCCCCTCTTAATTAGTTTCATCATGTTGTAGCTGTCGTATGCTTTTTAAACTAGCCTTCCTATCTTCTCTGGCACAGCCCCTGCTCTTCATCTTGGCAGGGTGTCTGACCCAGTGCCCAAGGTTAGAGTCCTAGATCCCCTGACTCCACTGACTGTCACCTCTGCTTCATGTCTGGGTCCATACTTGAGACACAGCCACCTCCAGAACTGCTCTCCAACTGCCCTGCTTAGTCCTCCTCAAGCCCCTCCCTCCATGCCAGGTTCTGCCTTCCCTCCTCCCTGCTCCCAGCCTGGGCATATTTGCTGTTTTTTTCACTTGTCTGTGTCATGGTGGCCATGAGGCTGACAAATGTCTGGGGTTGCACCACAGGACAGGTTTATTTCAAAATAAACCTGCAAGGCATCTCCCTGACACTTAGGCCAGAGTGACAACTCTCATACAGGCCATGAGGTCCCTTATAGGGTCAGGAGCCCGAAGGAGCTGTAAAAGGACAGGGTCAAAAGGGGACTTATGGGGGGGCTGTCAGTGGAAAGGAGCTGTGCTCCCTGCAGGGGATGAGCTTGAGAAGGCACAGGGTGCGGCGGTTGTCTATCCAGAGCAGGTGGAAGGACGGTGGGAGTTGTGGGTGCAGCCGTGGTTC